ATGCCATCGTCTGGGATCCCAGAGAGAGAGAAAGGTAAGATAGAAACATTGGGGCGCAGCGTGGAGATGAAGAAATAAGGATCTTGACCTCCACACCCCCCAGTTTGCCAACATGGGCACTGTAGGTCCTTTCCACCCACAAACTCGGAACTTCGCGCCCGTGCCGCCCACTCCTGGGCTCCAGCCAATAGGAAAAGAGAGCGTGCAGGCTGTAGGTGCCAGGTTGCTCCTCCTGGAGCTCGGTGCGCTGTCCTGCAGAGGGGACTGTGGTGAGCCGTGGAGTCGGAACTGACCCACAGCTGACCCTTCAGCAGGTTTTCAGTGGCAGTAAGTCACATCGGAGGGGACTGCCCATCTTTCTCCCGTGGAGTAACTGGTGGATTCGAACTGCTTGCCTTTGATATTGCGGCGCAGATTCTGATCACTAGGCCACCAGAGATCCCTGGAGACAGGATTGCAGACTACAAACACAGAGGGTTGCTGGGCCTCCAGGCCTGACATGCCTACCCGCTTCTAGAACCTTCCACTCAAGTCTTGAGCTGGTAGACTCTTGGTAAGTGGGGCAAGGGGAACATATGCTCATTAAGACTCCGGAGTCTAGGAGGCTCATTTCCGGGTTTCCACCAATAGGCAGCCAGAGCACTCAGCCAATCAGAGCCCTGCGCTTCTTCCGGCGTCCTGCGTGCTGCCCTGGAGACGGGCTGGCCGAGTCCAAACGTGGAGGGGGCGCCGGGCCCGCCGGGCTGGAGGCTGGTCCCTGCGCGCCCTCCCGGTTCCACTGCTTCTCCCCGGCCTCCGGCGGGTAGACTCTCCCTGAGGGTGGAGCCCTGGCGCGGGCAGGGGCGGGAGCCGCAGAGCCGCTTCTCGGGTCTGAACTACCAGGTACGCAGCGGGTCGGTTTCAGAGGCCTTAGGCCCGGGTTTGTGCCACCCTCGCGGCGGTAGGAGACACCGGAGAGGTAGAATTGGCATCGCACCCTTCCTTGCCTCTGCGGACCCCGCGTTGCCCGCCCCCCTTCTCTTCTGGCCTCATGTGTTAACAAAGCAAAGCAAAACAAAACAAAACATCGAACAACTGCAAAACTTTTGGGGGCTTTGGTTCAGGGTGCACAGGGTTCCTTCTAGAACTTGGGTGGACGGGCTTTCGAGGAACTAGATTCTGGAGATGGACTTTGGAGACCTTAGACTCCACTTAAAATTCAGGGGCCGGGAATATGGTGCCACCCGTGCAGAGAAGCTGGAAAAGCACTGGCTGGAGCTGTCTAGGGATCCTGTTTATGTAGCAATCCAGAACTTGCACTTAAGGAACGTGGCTTACAATAAATACATGGCCAAAGGTGTTAGTGTTTTAGAAAGAACTTAAGGGTTCTTTACAGGAGGGAATTGTTTTCTTAGTAAAAACATTTCCAACATCTCATTGTCAACTGACATTTTCCTGGTACTGTATATTTATTGACTATGTTTTAGCATGTTCATTTTACAAAATTCAGAGATTTAAGATTCGATTAAGATCTATGAGATCTAGCTGAAGTCTAGTGTTAAATGAGATCAGAAGTCATGAGGATTTAGCTATACACCAGACCACAGAAGTTAACCTACATGGGTAATATCTTTTGGAGAAGCTGTTGGTGCTTCATCAACCCATTCAAATTTTTGAGTTTTCATATTATTAATTACTGACAGAATCTGAGAAATGAGAATGGTAAATATGTGACAACTCAGGGGACTTTATGTTTCAAAGTTTAATGTTAAAGAAATATTTGAAATGCTAGTGTTAAAATTATTCACTGATCTTTGGAAAGACTTGTTAACATTAACCTGCTGACTGAACCTGGAAACTGGGGATCTGTATGTGAATGTATTGGTGCCTCAGACAAATGTGTTAACTTACGTTAAAAAAAATCGAAGTAAATTTCTGTTATTTTTGTACTATTTATGAATTGAAAAACTTTCTACAAATTTGATTCTAAAAAAAAAGTTTATTGGCTTGCATACAGAATTCGTATACATTGTGTTTCTTTTATATCCATGGAGTGTTTCACACATTGCTTCATTCACATTGGGTTTTATAAAATTAATCATGGTTATGCTCTTCTGATTTATTTAGCTCAAATCTTTGGCTCAGTCTGTAAAGTGCTTTAAGAAATACCTCTCATTGCTTAGCTCCAGGCCTGTTGTTTTAAGTCCCCACAGATGTTTGACTTCTCTGCTGTTTTTCCAAATTGAGTGCATCTTAAATTCCGTGCAGGGCTTGTTAAGGCATAGATTGTTGGGCTTCAATTGCTGATTGAATGTGCCTGGAACTTGGTTCTAAGAATCAAATTCCTAACTATACCCAGGTGAATGAAGTTAATGCTGCTGGTAGGAAAGTCAAGGATCTTGGTGAAGGTGCAAATGATTGAGGAGAAAGTTCTGGTCTTCACCCTCTGACCTGGTCAGTTTCAGTTTGTTGAATGTAGTCTTTGGTCATCTGCATTCTAAATGGTTTGTGTGTGCGGCGCGATTTGCTGTGTGTTTTAATTCTGGGCTTCTCAAATGCTTTCTTGGTAAATTTGTAGATTAAGAGATTAAAAAAACACCACCAAGCTTTTAAAAATTTAATACACGGAGGCAATTTGAGCTGTGGTGTGTGGGAGTATGTAACTTGTGTGAGAAAGCACTGTGGCGCCTTAAAACACAGAAAATGCAACTACAGCGGCGTCTTCCGCACCCAGCTAATAGACCTGTATCAGCAGGCCTTCCCACCAGATGCCCTGCAGAAGCCCTGGGAACGGACAGGGCCACCTCCTCGAGAAGGGTCCTCTTGAAGGGCAGAAGAGCCTGGGTTGCCCTAACCCCGCTGAGGGGAAGATCCCCTTGCCCCTCACCTGACCCCCACCCCCGGGGCTTGTATATAGATTATAAGGGGAATGAGGTGGGTGGGGAGGAGCTGTGGGGCTGGGTCCTTGCTTCCCCTGGTCCCTTATCCTTGGAGTCATTTGTTGAAAAAGAATAGTAAAATAATTTAAAAACTATTAAAAAAAACAACAGAAAGTGATTAATACAAAAACCTGAAATGTGGATAGGGATTTAAGCAGCTGTTTACTCACCTGAGTGGTGATTACAAGGGTATCAGTTACAGTCTTGGAATCTGATGCAAGAAATTGTAGCAAAATCATGAACACAATTCTTTGCTGTAAGGAAACTGAGCCCAGGAAAAGTGCTTGATAGTGTTCAGTTTTATCTTAAGCAGATTTAACAATTGAAACTTAATTACAAGCCGAGCCCACTAGTTACATATGGCTTTAAGAGTAAACTCAAGACTCAACTCTTTGCTACAGAGTTGGAATTCCTCCAGCATTTTCAGAGGCTATAAGTTGCAGGGGAGAAGATTGCTAATCTTTCTCCTGAGGAACAGCTGGTGGATTTGAACTACATGATTTTGGGGTGACAGCACAATTCTTTACCCACTAGGCAACCAGGCCACCCTCAAAGTAAAAGCTGGAAAAAGAAATTGGAGCAAATAAAATACTACTTCAGGTCTAAAACCTTGTTTTTAAAGAGTTGGTCATTTGTCATTTGTCTTCTATAAAAGCATATTTCAATTACTTGGTGTATCTGAGTGTAGCCAATTTGTAAACAACTGAAGGTTCTCAGGTGTTCCCCCCCCCCCCCGATTTAATAATGCCTCTAATTTAACATATTTTTATCTTATTTTACTCCGGTATTATTTTGTCTTAACTCTTGCCACATATGTATTCCTTTGGAATTTTGTATACATTTTGGTGGGTCACGAATCCAAATTGCCTAATAATTGGGCATTAGGGAGAACTTGTATACTTGTTGGATAGAAAAGGTATTTAATAAAATTGTGGTGACGTAGTCTGTATTGACTCAGAATAGCAATCCTCTACAGTTTGGTGGGAAATATCATTGTTCTGTGTTTGCTTATTCAGTTATTTTCATGTACACTGTCTCATTTACTTACCAGAATTTGTGAGAGTTAGATGAGGCACCTTTTATATCTCATTTATATCTTGTTGCTCTGCTTTCCAGGTTTCCATCATTAACAGTGGGATTAAAGCATCTAGGTACATGGTGTAAAATCTCATTCTCCCCTGATGCTGATACATGTGATAGTTGGAAATAAAGCTTTTCATTTCATTATCTCTGAAAGCTCTTGTTGATAAGAAATTGAGTATTGGTCTGTGAATTCTTTGTTTTACTTAGACCTCTAGTCTTTCTGTTCATCCTGCAAAAAAGACACTGAAATCTAATACTTGAAGATGAAATAGTTTCATTTATAGAATCCTTAGATTAAATTGTGTATTATTAAGTACTCTAGGGCAAATTGTGCAACTAACATTTGTTGTTATGTGCCATCAAGTCACCTATGACTTGTTTCGACCCTGTGAGCAATAGTTCTGAACCCTGTCCTGTCCTGAGCCAGTCTCACTGTCTCTGACACACTTAACACCATGACTGTGTCAATCCATCTCATCTGGGGTCTTCCTCTCCTAGTTATCCCTACACTCTTGCAAGCATGATGACCTCTAAGAATCAGTCCCTCCTGGCCACATGCCCAAAGTATGTGAGACAGAGCTTCAAAATCCTTGCTCCAAGGAGCAACTTGGTCTCACACTCCAGGACAGAACTATTTGTTCTCTTGGCGGTCAATGATGTATTCAGTACTTTTCTCCCCAGCATTACAACTCAAAGGCTTTAATTCTTCTATCACCTTTAGTCACTGTCCAGTTCTCTGATGCATAGCAAGCAATGATAAAAGACCGTGGCCTGGATCAGGCGCACCTTCGTCTCTAGACTGACATTGTTGCACTTTACCACTTTGGAGAGATCCCTAAACAAGGAGATTCCCCTAGTGCAGTTCATTTTTTGATTTCCTCACTGCTGGTGCCAAGAGTGTTGAGCTGAGCTTTACCAATGCCATCTTTGCTTTCCTTTTTAGGAACTGGATATGCGATCATGCTGTCATTTCCTCGTGGGTGAGACGTTGGCCCAGAGATGGAGAACTTCATTCTGTATGAGGAGATTGGCAGAGGAAGCAAGACGGTGGTCTATAAAGGGCGGCGAAAAGGAACCATCAATTTTGTAGCTATTCTCTGTACTGATAAGTGTAAAAGACCTGAAATAACCAATTGGGTGAGTCAAGTAGCCTTTCTTCCCTCTAGGCAAGTAGGGCCTTTGATGGCTTTGTAGTAAGGAGTTGCACTACCAACCCCAAGGTCCAAGGTATGGATGACCAGATGCTCTGCAGAAGAAAGATGGGTAATCACCTCCTGCGTGAATAACTGCCTCTGAAACCCTGCTGGAGGGCCAGCTATGAGTTGATTTCAGACTCACTGGTTCACAGCCGCAACAACTGGGGAACGAGAGAACTGAGAGAAGTGACATGCAAACAGAGGCCCTGGGACTCACCATAGCAAACCCCACATTTTCAGTCCACAGTAGATGATTCCTCAGAACCACACATCTGGTGTGACCAGTGAACATACCCATGTAATTTATGAATCACTTTTCTTCTTGGCTGGTTTTATTGACAATCGGGTAGATACATCTAAAGGTTTTTTTTAAAAATTCATTGTTGCACATTTTCTCCCCTTCCCTCCCCTCTGCCCCAGCCCACCCAGCAATGCACCCCTTCCACATTGTTGTTATAATGCCTAATCATATGTTCCTTTCTGACAGCTCTTCCCCTCATCTCTAAAGCAGTGTGTATTATCTAGCAGCTTTTTCTTCCTCCATCCTATCCCCCACTCCGCCATGCCTGTTCTTTTTTTTGTCACAGTGGTGTTATGCAGTATTGATCTTTTTGTGACTGAGGTATTTAACTTTTTTTATTAAATTTTATTAATTTTAATGAACATTTACAGAGATTTAGGGTTTTCATTCATTCATTGTTGCACTTTTTTCTCTACCCTCCTCCCCAGTTCGTTCCTTTTTCCCCCCCCCGAAAGTCTGTTTTAATTGTCCAATTGCCATAGTGCTTGTCAAAGCCAGTTCTGATTAATCTCCTTTGTCAGTGTGTCCTTTGCCATTCCCTATCACTCCTCCTTGAGAGAGACTTCACCCTGATTCATAAGAGGTATTTCACTTTTAATATCCTCCAGGCTCCTCCAGGTTGTGTAATGTTTTATGAGTATTGTTTGTCAGTACTGCATAATATTCCACTGTGTGAATGTATCATAGTTCTGTCTGTTCATTTGTTGTTGAGTGTATTTACTTTTCACATTTAGATGATGCAAAATCATGGGGGAGGGGGTAGAGTAGATAATGCAAAATCATGGGGCAGGGGGTAGACCAGGCGTAATTGTCAAACACTGGCCAACCGCTGGCGATAATGGCCCTGAGTCACTCTGTAGCACTGAACTGCACCCCTCCCCTCCCCATTTCTCTGTGTTTATTCCTCTCTCTCTGCTACTTGAGCTTTATTCTTGGGCGAAAGTGGCCCTCTTGATACACAGCTGATTGTTTTCTAAGGCATGGTTCCTCCGTGGTGTTCACCTTGCAAGCCTGTCTCCTGTTTAGCTATAAGTGGAGCTACGTGGATTTTTAAAAAGTAGGACCTCTGCATGATCCACACGTTATAGGCCCATTAGCTTGTGTTGGGTGACAATAGAATGTGTACGTGATTATTTTTTTTTTAAAGACGGGGAAAACAAGTACTTTGGTAATTGTTAGCAAACTATCAAGACTCAGAATTGCTAAAATGAAAACGTTTCTGTGGTTTTGATTTTCCTTTTTAATGAGATTCTAATGTGAGAAAAGCTCCCTGAAGAAACTTAGTATTTTAAAAAAAATTAGACTTGATCTGCGTGTTTATGGTAATGATCCCTCTTTTAATAATCTGCTTGAACTGGTATCACAATTCTCCATATTTTGAAAAAAGAGGAATGTACAATTCTTTAGAGAGTTCTTGTAAATACAAGTAATATATATTCATTTTTAAAATCAATAATGTGAAAATAGGGAGCTCTGGGGGCCTAGAGGTAAGAAGCATCTGTGGTACATTATCACAGGCTCGCGGTTCAAATCTCAGCTGCACCGCGGGAGAAGGATGGGCAGTCTCCATGTGATTAACTGTCTTTGAAAACCCACTGGAGGATCAGCTGTGGGTTGCTTCTAACTACTCAGTGGTTGTTGTTGTTATGTGCTGTCGAGTCGCTTGCGACTCATAGCGACCCTGTGTACAACAGCCCTAAACTCTGCTCTGTCCTGTGCCAGTCGCACTGTCTCTGACACTCCCATCCCGATTACCCCAGTCACTGAATCAATCCACCTCATAGAGGGTCTTCCCGTCCTGCGCTGTCCCTCCACCTTACCAAGCATGATGTCCCTCTCCAAGGACCTGTCCCTCCTTACATGTCCAAAGTATGTCAGACTCAGTGGTACACAACAATAATACAAGAAAATAGAACCAACACCACTGTTACCCCTTTAAAATTATATATTTTCCCCCTGGTTATGAAAGTCGTGTATTTACTAGAGAAGATACAGGAATGGAGAAAAACAAAATAGGAAAAAACCCTAATAATAGCTATTTTGGTGTTTGAGTTCGAGAAATTTTCCTATAAATTATTTACAATGCTGCATGCATACATATTAAGTAGATTTCAGTTCTTTTTAGGACTACATTAGACTGTTACTGTTTCTTCATGTGATCAGCATTTCTAATTAGAAGCAGCATTTGAAATATCTGTGTAGATTCTACGACTTTGTTTGCCTTTTCTTAGTATATGAAAAGTTTTGGGGAACTTTTTTTGTGACTACTGTGTTTTTCTAGGTCCGTCTCACTCATGAAATTAAACACAAGAATATTGTAACTTTCCATGAATGGTACGAAACCAGCAATCATCTTTGGCTCGTGGTGGAGCTCTGCACAGGTAAGTGTCTGGCAAGTGCGATGCGTGTAGTTTGAAAAAAAAATGTTAGAAAGTCCTTTAATATTCTTGACTAGATAGAATGTAGTTGTTTGGTGCTGGTGAGTGACCCATAGCGAGCCTATGAAAACATATCTGAACCTTGTCCTGTGCCATCCTCACACTTCCTGACATAATAGATCCCATTGCTGTAGTCACCATGTCAGTCCCCCTGGTTGAGAGTCTTCCTCTCCTTCACTGACCCTCCACCCTTCCCAGCATCATGCTCTTGTGCAAGGAATAACCCCTCTGAGCAACATGCCCAATGTACATGAGGTGAAGCCTCCTCATTTTTGACTCCAGAAAGCATTCTGGCTGCACCCTCTCCAAGACATAGCTGTTTGTTCTCTTGGCCGTCCATGGGATGTTCTGTGCTCCTCTCCAGCATTACAGCTCAAAGGCATCAATTCTTTCATTTTTATTCATTGTCCAGCCCTCAGATGGATAGCAAGTGATCAGAAAAACCCATGTCCTGAATCAGACACACATATCAAAACCCATGAGATAAGGTAGAGTCGATGTTATTTACTGTAATAAACTTAAAATATTTTCATTCAGGGATTTCAGAAAAGCGGAGAGAAAAGATGCTTGGTCAGAGGAAGCCATATCAATTTCAAATTCTGTGGGTTGAACATACTACTTAATCAACCACATCACAATTTTGAAATCCTTGCAAGTGGTGGTTCAGTGTGAAACAGGTTTTTCCAGTAAATTGAAATGCACATGTTGGGTCAATTAGTAATTAGTTCGTTTAGGGGTAAACACCAGTAATCAGTAACAGCAGCTGTTTTGAGGGTAACATAATATGGTGTTTTGATGCGAAGGCTGGTGTTTAACAAGATGCCATGCACTGTAAGAACACATGGCACGTGGAAAAGTGCAGCGAGGAGGGAACAGGTGCATCTGCTCAGTGACGGGTAATGGTAACGTGGCTCCAGTCTCATTTCGTAAAAATTTCCCAAGGCTTTATATACAGGGAGAAAGGTAATCTGTCGCAATATGCAGGTACGGAACTTTTAGCATCGGTGTAGTGAGATTCAATAGGAAAATGCACCAGTGATGTGTCTTCTGTTCATACACTGAGCCTCATTAAGCATTGAGATAATTTTGTGATTATTGCTGGCTTTACGACTGTTCCCTATGTATCAGAATTTATAAAGTGTAATCACCAAAGACACTATTTGGATGAAAATACCATTTAGTTGTTCTTGATCTGTAGAAATCAACTATCTTGAAGGTCTGATAGGGTTTTATAGGGTTCAGGGGCACTGAGCAATAACATTGCATTACTGCTGTTGTTGTACACGTGGTTAGGTGACCAGGGGATATTCCAAGTGCCACTTTTTGCTCTGTTCCTGATTTCTGAGCATGTATAACTAACTGAAGTTTGCCTGTGGCTGGGATGGTTTCTCACCCAAACAAAATCGAACCCCAGAATACTCTTACTTTCATCATAACTCTGATGCAACTCTTGTAAGACTTCCTTTTCTTTGAACTTGGCCGCTGTGATACTCTTGGGCCTGTAGAGATTTTTTTTTTAATAGCAGTGTAGTGTAATAAACTTTTTTTTTTTGGCTTTTGCTGTTGGTTTTTGGGAAAACAACTCCACAGACGTTTCTTACATGATTAGGATGTATTAACTACACCTGTTGGTCGAGTACACCTGTTGGTTATCTCTTGGGCACTGATCTGATTGGGCGCCTACATGGTAAACGCGTGATCGCACGTGGACGCCCTGATAAAAGTCCTGGGATGTAGGGGCGTGGGCATTTCTTTTCTGAGAGCTGTTCCTGCCGCTGAAGCAGAGAGGTGCCCTCCTTGGGAAAATGGACGACTATATGATGCTGGTATTCTGTTCCTCTACTAAACCCCAAAACAGTAAGTATATTCTATGAGGGCTCTGGTGGTCTCGGGTAAGGAGTTGCACCTCCAGTTGAAAGACTGCGTACTTTTGGTGGTTCAAATCCACTGGCTGCTCCTCAGGAGACAGAGGGACAGTCTTGTGCAGTGACCACCTCTGAAAACCTGCTGGAGGGTCAGCTATGAGTTGGTTTCAACCAGACTGCACATAATAAAACGATAGTCGTCGTGCTCTGGGAGACTGTTGTTGTGTACTGTCAAGTCAGACTCATAGCTGACCCTCCAGCAGGTATTCAGAGAAAAAACACAGGAAGAGAGTGTCCATCCTCCTTCTGTAATGCAGTTGGTTATGAGACTTAGAGGGAATTGTCGAACCCAGCCAAGAAAGTGTGTGTGTGTTGGGGGCAGGGGGCTTGGTGTCCGAGATAATGCACATTTAGGAAGTGAGATTGGCTTGGCCACCATGTTTTTGGGATTAGACTTTGGGTGGCCTTTATTGGAGAAAGCACTTTGTGGAGTTACAGATGTTGGAAGAATATAGAAGAATCCATACCGTGCCTGCGTTTGGCTTTGCATCTCATCACTGCTGAGCACTAAGCCTTGTGATGTCTGTTGAGGGGAGGCAGGTGTGTCTTGTTACACAGCACGGCACTTTGCAGAGCTTGACTTCACCGGGCACATGTGCGAGTGGGACTAGACGCTGCATAGTGTGATAGACGCGCACAGCAATGGGTTAGGATTTAACGCGTGTTTCTGCAGCCGTAATTTCCTGAGAGCTGTGCAGGGGGAAATGACAGCCGTACTCAGCTCCACAATCAACACTCTGGGCACCAGAAGTCAGGAAATATAGTGGCGTGGACTGGGGGCGGGGAGGGATTGTATTACAATGAAAGAGTTTTTCTTTTACTTTTCAAAGAGGAGTGCAAATTGGGGGTGGGTGGGCAGGGAGAAAAGTGTAACAATGAAGGAATGAAAATCCTCAGTCTCTGTAAACTTTCATTAAAATCAATAAAAAAAGCCCCAAAACACATTGCAGTGGAGAAGTCTCTCAGGGGACTCTCCAAAGTTCCCAAGCATAAGGATGTCAGTCTAGAGAGACTGTGTGCCCCATCCAGGCTGGGCTTCACAGTTAGTTGATACGCAGTAGAGCGCTGGACAATGACTAAGTATGACAGAAGAATTATTGATGCCTTTGAGTCATGCTGGAGAAGAGTATTGAATATACCATGCACTGCCAAGAGAACAAACAGGTCTGTTTTGGAGAGGATGAAACAAATTTCTCCTTTGAAGCTCTGGGTCACATAGTATTGGTGCATTGCCAAGAGGGACCAGTCTCTGTAAAAGGACATCATACGGTGGAAGGGTGGAGGGACTGTAGGAGAGGAAGATCCCGGACGAGATGAATTGACAACAGTAATGGGGGAACGAGGGTAGGTGCGGCAGTCAGTGAGACTGATTCGGGCTAGAGCAGGATTCAGAGCGATTATGCGTAGGGTTACTATGAGTTGTGGGCAATTTGATGCCACATAACAAACAAGGTTCTTTTCACCCTCTTATTTTCTGTCCTTACATTTCTCCTGGACATGGCTCTGGAGTTAGGGACATAGCCACCTGTTCCAATATTTGGACACTATTCACATGTGTGTCTCCTCTACTAGACTGTAAAGTTATAGATTCAATAACATTTTGAACTCACTGCCTCCCGATTGAAAAAGCCTAGAGGCCTTTGGTAATGGTGGAATAAAAATGTACCAGGTGACTTTCATCACCTCATTGCAGGTGGCTCCTTAATGGTGGAACAAAAATGTACCAGGTGACTTTCATCACCTCATTGCAGGTGGCTCCTTAGAAATGGTTATTGCTCAAGATGAAAACCTCCCTGAAGATGTCGTGCGAGAATTTGGAATTGACCTCGTCATGGGATTGCATCACCTTCATAAACTTGGAATTCTCTTTTGTGACATTTCTCCCGGGAAGGTAATTTATGAAACATTTTATGTCCTAACCACGGCTTTTATTTTAAAAGGTATTTTTCTTTTTGTTTTTTTTTAAAATGATTTTAATGAACATTTACAGAGAATTTGGATTTCCATTCATTCATTGCTGCACTTCTCTACCCGCCCAGCCCTCTCCCCCTGCTCCCTAGTTCACTCCTCTTTCAAAAGTAAAAGAAAGACTCCCTCCCTGGTACACAATCCCCCCTCCCACCACCCCAAGTACATTCCACTATGCAACCTTAATTGTGAACTCTTGTGATTACCAAAGAAGGTTTTGATGTATAACATCTTGAAGTTTTAAATTTTTTCTTTGTTTGAGGAAAGGAAATAGTCCTCTATTTTTAACTGCTTGTTGAGAAAGCTTTTTAGAATGTGAAGACATTCCCCTTCAGAACTCCTTGAGTAATTATTGAAGCAAAAGTGTCTTGGCAATGATGAGCCTAGTTAGTTTATACACTAAGATACTCTTGGGTCTTAAAACATGGTTTCAGTGTTGCACTGCTAACTTGGTTTAGTCACTGTTTTGAATTCATCAGCTACATCAAGGGAGAAAGATGAGTAGTCTGTGAAGATTTACAGCTTCGGAAGCTTGGAGGGTTGCCATGAAGTGGACTCGATTTCGATGATGGTGGGTGGTGGTTGGTATTGGAAATTTTCCCCTATGTTTGCGTGATCTTTGTTACAGAAATGTTTTTCCTTAGCAAAATTGTAACAAAATATTCTTCACTGCAGTTGAGGCCTGAACTAGCAGAGTTGAGTCCCTGAGCTGACACTTCCCTACCTGTCAATGTCATAGACATAGTTGGCTGAAATGGACATATTTTTGGGATGGTGGTGAGAATGAAAAAGGACATTTTAAATTAAAGTTCTAGGATACTTTCTGGCAGGTCCTGTGTTCTCAGTGGAGAGGATTCTTGTAAGTATATACTTGGAGGATTTGTATTCCCTGTTTGCATTTTTGTTTGGTAATATATGCACAATGAAATGAAAAGTTGAATGTTATTTGAATGCATAAGCCACCTGTATGAGAATGTCAGACCCTAACTACTGCTATCAAGTCATTTTGGACTGATGGGGTCTAGCAGGACAGAGAAGAACCATCCCACAGGGTCCTCAATGGCTATTATCTCTATGGGAGCACACTGCCATGTCTTCTCCTAAGGAACAGCTGGTGGATTAATCTTCGTTGTTGTGCCACCAAGTCAGACTGGCACAGGAGGACACTGTCCATCCTTCTCCAGCAGAGCATCTGGTGGACTTGAACCACGTACCTTCAGGATTGCAGTGCAGCTTCTTGCCACTAGGCTACCAGAACTCTCCCTTCAGCTGGTGGGTTAAAAATGATTACCTGGGTGCGCTTCCCTTTTCTGGTCACAGAGCCACACGGCGAGGACCTCTCCTGATAGCCATTTGCCATGCCATCCAAGGGCCCGCTGCAGTCCATGCAAGTCTTTGGATGCAGGAAGACCGCCACAGCCGTGGCACACTGCAAACGGGGCAACGGCCTTATCAAGGTGAACGGCCGGCCTCTGGAGATGATTGAGCCCCGCACGCTGCAGTACAAGCTCCTGAAACCTGTTCGGCTTCTGGGTAAAGAAGGCTTTGCCGGTGTGGACATTCGAGTCCGTGTGAAGGGTGGTGGTCATGTTGTCCAGATTTATGCAATCCGCCAGTCTGTCTCCAAAGCCTTGGTTGCCTATTACCAGAAATATGTGGATGAGGCCTCCAAGAAGGAAATCAAAGACCTCCTTATCCAGTATGACCGGACCTTGCTTGTAGCTGACCCTCGTCGCTGCGAATCCAAGAAGTTTGGAGGCCCTGGGGCCCGTGCACGTTACCAGAAATCCTACCGATAAGCCACTTTTATAATAAAAAAGTTATGAGATTTTAAGGCTTAAAAAAAAATTATCTGGTTAGTAGCTAGAGGCTTTCAATTCCACCAGGGTTGCTCATGAGATAATTAAACCTAAGAAAAAAACCAAAAAACCATTATTCCATGAAAACCTTACTTAATAGATATTTGACATTCATGTGCTTGTTTCCTTAACCTTGATCCTGAAGTAATAGCCACTTATTATTTGTATTTGGGAATAGTATCTTTTTGTTTAATATGTTTGGATTCTACTAGGAAAATGAGAAATGCATTTTTAAATTTTATTATTTTGTGTTTGTGTACCGTCAAATTGGATCTGACTGGTACAGGAGGAGACTGTCCCTCCTTCTCCAGCAGAGCATCTGGTGGACTCAAACCATGTACCTCTGGGATTGTAGTGCAGCTTCTTGCCACCAGGTGAGAAATGAATTTTTTACCTTCAGAGAAAAATAGCGGTAAGTCATTCCTGGTTTCCAAAGTGTATTTTTTATTCTGTCCTCCCTACTTATTGTCCAGTGTGTGCTTGGATAGGAAGTAAAATGAAAAGACCCCAGCTTGAATCAGGCACATCTTAGTCTTTAAACTGACATCATTGCTGCTTAGACCTTTGGAGAGGTCTTTGCCTGCAGCTGATCCCAGGGCACCGTAGAGTGCTTTGCCATTTCATTGGAGCAGTCACTTGCTGACTGTTAAGTCTGTTCTGACTCATGGCTTACGGGCACTCTGGTCTTCCAAGGCTGTAAATCGCAGCACAGGACACTCGTAGTCTCTGGGTTAGCCGCACAACTTGCTGTGGACTTGGCCTCCAGAGCTCCCTGTTAGAAGAGTTAAGATAGCAATTGCAGAGGTGCACGGTTCAAATCCACCAGATGCTGTGCTAAAGGACAATCTTCTCCACCAGTCAGATCTGATTTGACGGTGTGTACACACACACAAATAATAAAAATTAAAAAAAGAGAAGCTATGGTATATATATTTTCACACAATGGAAATACTATGCAGCACTGAAAAACAACTCATGAAATATACAAAATGAGTCACCATGGAGGACATTATGGTGAGTGAACTATCTCAAACCCCAAAAATACAAATACAGCATAATGCCACTGTTAGGAAACAGGACTGACATGGGGGTTGGGGGAAAACTAAGAAAAAAGGGGATAAATAATGTATACGGTATAGAAACAGATGGAGAAAAAAAAGAAGAAAAAAAAAAGAAACAGATGGAGAGAACTGTGTGAAAGGAATATATGATTAGGTGTTCTTGGCATGACGAGTCTAGAATAATCGCTTCATAGTCAAGTCTGGAGAAGGGGGGACTTGTACAACAATTTGTGCTGAAGCAGTAGAACTAATGCTGATTTTTTTTTTTGAGCGCCATCCTCTGGACTCTGATGGGAATGCAGATTGAATTGAATTTGTTTCTGAAAAGGCTTTTTTCATCTTCTAGATCCTGCTGGAAGGGCCTGGCACCTTGAAGTTCAGCAATTTTTGCTTAGCAAAAGTGGAAGGTGAAAATTTGGAAGAATTCTTCGCTTTGGTGGCAGAAGAAGGAAGCGGTGATACCGGGGAGAGTGGGCTGAAGAAAAATATGAAAAGCAGAATCAAAGGTAGGCAGGCCTGGGGGCTTCCACTGAGCACTGGGGCTGCGGGTCACTCGGGCCACACGCCGTAGAGATTGTGCTGATCTTGCGCTGGGCCCGTCAGATAGCTACTTAATGACCAAGATGAGTGTGGATTTTTAAAAAAGTTTCCATTAAGTTGATTCCAAGTCAGCTCCATGTGTTAGGGTAGAATTGTCCCTACAGAGTTTGAATGGAAATTGTCGTGTACATCTGAGGTGCTGGTGCGTGGATGCGAGCCTTCGACGTTCTGGTAAGTAGCTGAGCCTGTTAACCCAGGGACTGCCAAGTATAGATAAGGGGATGGCTTTGTCCATGGCTTCAGGTTGTCTGGACCCAACACTGCCAGGCATGGGGAGCTCTGACAACTCCTGACTTGTCCTTAATGATACTTTAATACATGAACCAGATCCACACCCACTGCTGTTGAGTCTGTTTTGAGTTGGTGGTGACCCTCTGTGGTGCCAGGCTGAGTCCTAGGCTGTCAGTACTTTTTTTCTTTTTGGCAAATTTTATTTTTTTTTGTGCACACATCAAATCGGATCTGATGGGTACAGGAGGAGCTGCCTCTCCTGCTCCAGCAGAGCGTCTGGTGGATTCGAACCTCGCACCTCTGGGATTGCAGGGCAGTTTGTTGCCACTAGGCCACCAGAGCTCCCCCAGGCTGTAAATCTTTAAGGCAGGAGACTGCCTGTCTTTCCCATCAACCACTGGCTTTTTGGCTACAGCGCAGCCTGTAAAGTACTATGTCATCAAGGCTTCGTTAAGACCGATCTTGGTCTTGTTTCCTGTTGTATCCTCTGCTCTTAGAATGATGTCTGACACACACTTTTATCTCAACTATTCAGCATTCTTGAATATTCTCCAATTAAGGCACATTTTCAGGGGTTTCACCAAGTCCCTCAGTTGGTCATTTTCACAGGGCGATGAGATCTCTGAGGTGACACTAGTAATATCAAGTCTTTTGTGGGAAGTAGTCATGATTTTTTTTAATTCTTAAATTCCACGTAGAGTTCTGTGATGCTGCTAGATTGAGTGTTGGTTGCAGGAGGCGGCTATAAAGGGAAGACGTGCATCACAGGACTGACTCTAAGTGGAGGGATGAGAGGACCGAGTGGAAAGGCCAGTTAACTGTCAGGACTGTCGACATGACCAGAGAAAACTTAGCTTTCAGGACTCGCCATGTATGTTTCAGAATATCGTGTCCAAGAATAAAGCCTTCACGGTCCTGAAAAGTCTTTCTGACCTGCATTTTCGTGAAAACAACTGCTGTGGACTATGTTAGTTGAATTTCAAGTTCTAAATTGTTACTTAAGGTCTTATCTATGGAAAACAAAGGCGATATACCTTTCAGGAACACTTACTTGAAACATTCCCCTTGAGTAAATTGCTATTTGAAGAAGTAGATGATGGTTCTGGCTGATAAATTTAGTTACTTCTGACACTTAATCTGAGAATATTAATAGTCTATATTAATAGATAATGCATTAATATCATGTTATATAGAATATACTATATAGAGTATTAATATAATAGAATATTAGTTTTCTGAGACTATAATAGAGCGAGTTATCGTCACAGTGGCAGAGGACACCCACGTAACAGGCAGGATAAAGTCCTCCCTTGACCATTGGTATTGCTCATGTCAGGGGCAGCTCACCGCCACATCCTTTTGGTTTACAGATAAATTGATTTTGGTTACTGTAGACTACTTTTTATTTCTTATTTGATGAGTAAAAGTTTACAGAACAAATTGGTTTTGCTACTGTAAAAGTACTTGAGGCGAGCTCTGGTGGCCTAGTGGCAAGAAGCTGCACTACAATCCAATAGGTGCATGGTTCGAATCCACCAGATGCTCTGCTGGAGAGGGAGGAACAATCTCCTCCTGTACCAGTCAGATCTGATTTGACGGTACACACAAAAAAATAATAAAAAAAATTTAAAAAAAGTACTTGTTGGTAGTTCATCCACCTTATGTTTCTTGGCATTGACCACAGTCCCTTTTGTGCAGGAGTACTCCTCCTGCTTCCTCCTTGTGTTTTCCACTTCCTTTCATCCTTTTCTGTCTCCTCTTCTGAGCTTTATCTCTGGGCAAATGCTGTAGCGTTAACATGCGTTTATGAGATCTACAGAGTAATATGATTAGCAAGGAACATGAAATAGTTTTAACACTTTGCCTGTAGACACATAGGTGAGTGTCTAGGTATTGTGATGGACAGGTATATAGCCATATAGGATCTGTTAAAATTGTGACGTGAATCACTAATGAAGTAAGAGGGAGAAAGTAATCTGTGATTGATCTGCACAGAGGTACAATTGTGAAGAACAAGAGAAGATTGATGTTACCATCTCTTGTTAGGTGCCATTGAGTCAACACACTACTAGCAACCCTATGAGATCAACCAGTCTGAACCTTGACCTGTCTTACACCATCCCCATGTTTTCTTGGATTTTTTGTTTTGTTAAAAATATTAAAAGATAGTATGGATAAATGTGCCATACCTCTCATTCCTGTGGATTTTCAAAATCAGTTTGCATTGACTGTTACATGCCCTTTCAAACTACAACTTGGAAACGCAAAATTCTGATATACACATGAAGTTGTGTCCTGGGTGTTGTTCCCATCATTTTTCATCTCACCAGGGGTCCCCCAGGCAGATTTGCCTTGGAAACAATATGCAAGAGTCTAACGAAGTTGTTCTGTGTACTTTGTTTTTTAGGATGCCTTGTGTACACGGCTCCCGAAGTCCTGAGGGGAGCCGATTTCTCTATCACCAGTGACCTCTGGTCCTTGGGCTGTCTGCTTTATGAAATGTTTTCAGGTGATCATTTTCTGATTCAGCTTAAAATCAGAGATTGAATCAAAACACAAAGGGGAGTGAGTGAAAGGGGAAGGGGCGAAATCACTAGAACAGCAGAGGTTAGGGGGCAGCCGGGGGTTGAAAGAATAGGAAAGATCCAATGTGGACTTGAAAAGACGGGGTAATAATAGGCATAAATCAATAGTAATTGTTTTATGAAACCGTGTATATGAATGATTGTATGAAAAACATGAGTGAAAATTGTGTACATTATATACATGGAAGAAAGACAATGTGTACAAATTTTATATGGAAGCAGGAGTAGCATCCACTTCCTAAACATGCCTTTGGAAACAGATAAATGTCGATAGTTGTAGAGGGGCTTCAGGCCTAGAGGGGCTTCAGGCCTTTTGTTCATAGGGTCGCTATGAGTTGTGCTTGACTCGAAGGCAATCGACAACAACAACATTAAAACCAAAACAACCCTCTGTAGTTTGCAAGTATTTATGTTGAAAAACTTGTTTGACTAAACTTCTTAAATCACTTATGTTAGGATTATAGTTGAGTTTCTTGTTTGTGTACAGGTTCCTAAGAACTTTGCTAACCAACAGGCAATTTTTTTTTTCAATAAAATTTTTATTTTATACTTACAAAGTTCGTACACTTTGTTTTTCACATCAGATCTTTCCTATTTCCTTAACCCTCCCCTCCCTCCAACCATCGAATTTTGTGACCCTCTGATAATCCCCCTGGCCCGGCCCATCCTCCCCGCCTGTTGTGGACCCTCATACATGCTCATCTGAAATGTTGCAAAGTAGCTATTTAAAAGTCATGTTCATGAGTAGAGATTCTTGTAGAGGTACTGGATTACGAATCACACGGATGTTGTAACCCTTTCTTTGATCTTGACCAATATATCATTCACATTGGCGTGGAGTTGAAACAGATGCATAACTGATTCTCCAGTGAGCTTTCATGAGACTGTAAATTGTTTATGAGGAGACCCTGCTATCTCTGAGCTGCTGGTGGATTTGAACCACTCGAGATGTGTGGCCTTTAAGTTAGCAGTACACCTGGCCACCCACTTCCCACTAGTGTTTCATCATGATAATGGTAGTGGGGCCCATATATGAATTTGTGTATATGTTAGGATGGAAAATTTAGAGATACTGGAAAATAAACAGGTATGCCTGGAGTATGTGAGTAATCAATATTTATATGTACAAATACATACTTGTGTTCACATATACTTAAATACATTTATGTGAAAAATGTAATTTTTCCTGTAAATTGTGTAATTTTGAAATAGCTGTAGTTGAAATTAGTTTAGAATAATTGGTGATAAATGTTTAATTTTGCAAGTTTTTCATGTGCTTTCAGGAAAACCTCCATTTTTCTCAGAACGTTTTTCAGATTTGATTGAACAGATTTTATATCAAGACCCTTTGCCACCTATTCCCAAAGGTAAAATTTCCTGGGATTAATGAAGTTAATGTAATTTCACACTGCTTAGATTTATACCTTTATTTAGTCCCTTTTGTATGGATGTATAATTCCCTGATGTTATATTTAGTATATCTTAAATTGATGATTTTAGAAAATACCCCCTTTTATTTTTTTAAAAGGTACTGCTATGGACAAGACAGCGCTACAAATTATTTCCCTCATTAAAAAAAAAAACCAAAACCCGTAAATTATTCTGTACTTCTCTATCACAAGAAATCTGGTTTAAAAGATTTTAAAACACTAAAATCTTTGTATCTGTATTATTGTTCTTCGGTGCATGTAGTTAATTCTAGTGTTTTAGTAGGGACAAATTGGGTGTTTCTCAGTTCTTAATGGTAATTTGATAAAATTTTAAAAATCTTATTAACTGTGTAGATAATGTTTTAAAACTGATCATATAAATTGTGGTTAGTAAAACCTTACTCTGTTGTTCATAGTCAATGGCAACTGAGAATATTAAAAATAAGGGACAAGGCATTTAAAAAAAAACATTTCATTGTATGTTAAATAAGTGACTCTTCAGACTAGTATATAAAACTAAAATTAGGATTATATAAAAATTAATGACTGGAGAAAATAGAAATACAAGATATTTTTAGCCTTTCAAGAATTGACAAGAGTTTTCTATAATTTTTAAAATTTTTTTTGTGTGTGTGTGTACCATCAAATCGGATCTGACTGGTACAGGCGGAGATTGCCGCTCCTCCAGCAGAGCGTCTGGTGGATGGATTCATCTTTTTTTAAAAAAAAAAAACCAAAAAACCCAAAAGAAAATTTGAAAACGGTCTGTATTTCTTAAAGGGAAGAGTCATGTTTTCTTGTTTATTTAAATTGATTTTAATGAAAGTTTGCAGAGACTTTGGATTTCATTCATTCATTTTTGCACTTTTCTCCCTGCCCACCCTCCCTGCCTCCCCCAATTCACTTTTCTTTGAAAAGTAAAAAAAAAAATTCATTCATTGTTATTCAATCCCTCCCCTCAAGTTAACTTTTTCTTAGTTTTCCTAGGAAATAATCAATTGTTCCTATCTTCTGGCATGACTTTTTTCCACATTGGGCAAATCTGGTATAAATGACTACTTTTTTCTTTTTAAAAATTCTTAATTTTTTGGTAGTTGTAATTTTTTAATATTGCATACCATGCATTTAATATGTAACTTTCCCCACAGACTAAACTCCATGAGGGCAGGGACTTCATTTGTGATTTTCAGTATTTCCTGCGCCTGAAGCAGCAAACATCTGTAATTGTTGAATAAGTTAACACTAAGGAAAGAGCAGTAAGGACCTAGAACTTCAATTTGATGTCCACTAAAATGTTCTGGTTCAACAATACACAACCACAACAGGACCCCAGGTCGTCTATGTTTTGATAGTTAATTTTAACGAAAATTTGGATTTTCATTCATTCATTGTTGCACATTTTCCTCTCTCCCCTTCAGCCATCCCCTGTTCACTTTTTTAAAACTGTTTTCATTTTTAATGTTTGGTAAAACAAAAATAGATCTTTTGTAAACAAACCCAGCACAAGGCCAACAACAAAAAGGAATAAAAAAAACCCCAAGAAAAACCAAAAGTCTAGGGTTAAGCCTTTCTTGGGCATCAGGGTCAGGCCTGCTCCCTTCCTTACAGGAAGTGGGACTTCTTGCCCTTGGGCATCAGCACGAGTCCCTGTTGTAAGCACCAGAATTGGATATGAGAACAGAGAAACCAGCCCTGAAATGTTGAAGCGTCTTTATGTAGCCCACTGGCTACAAGGACATGTGACGACGCTGAAGTGGGTACACAGGCCCCTGTTCACTTTAAAAAATATTCATTGTTGCACAACTTCATCTCTTCCTCCTCCTTCCCCCTCCCACAGCGCACGTTGCAGTGCAAAAAAATAGTGGTGACTAATTTTGGGGTTTTCAGAACTCACAATATTGATGAGTGTGGTGTTCTGTAAACTCAAAAGTCTTGCTAGGCAAGAAACAGAAACCTTGAAGGTGAAATGTTGAGGGTCAGGATGCCATGGTTTCCCAGGCTGGTTGATTTTTATGGGATCTCTATCTGGATACAGCCACGGTTCCTCTTGCAGCCATTTCTTCTGAAGGCTTTTACTGAAGGTGCCTGGCTGTTTTTGATCTTGTTCTCCTTGGCTGCCGTTGTGGGTAGGCCATGGTCTGTCCAAGAAAGACAGAATACTTGGAGATGAATGGAATTCAGAATCAACAATCTTGTAATGATTGTTACTTCCTGTTCTTTTAAAAAATAAATCTTCCTAATAAAAAAGTAGAAAACTGAGGCTGCAAATGCAGGTGAAAATAAAGTGTGGACACTAAAGACAGTTTGCAACAATTGTGAACAGAGTGTATTTTAAAAAGAAAGCCTCAGAGAAGGGAGCAGAATTAATAGAAGACAAGGCAAGAGTTTGGTGATCCTTCCAGGGGACATTGATTCTACAGTGAGTTTTGAGGTTAATCAAGACAGTTTTGTAGAGTCTTGCTTTCTGTGCTCTAGGGGAAAATGTTTTGGATAGCCCTCCCCGTTTGTATTAAATGGAGGCTATAATTGAGTTTAAAATACCATTATTTTAAACTTAATCTAGAGTACTAAGTTTATTATATTTTGTATGCATCTATTTACCACAAAAAATATTTATTTGTAGATTCTTCTCTTCCTAAAGCATCTTCAGATTTTATTAATTTGCTTGATGGTTTACTTCAAAAAGATCCTCAGAAAAGGTATGGATGATATTTTAATGACTAAATGGTAACATTTTAAATTTTTCTTTTTTCTTAAATAATACCCTTTTTAATACATACATAGCTATTCAAATGATTTTTTAAAAGTAACTTCAGATTAAGGAATATTTTTTTTCTCTCAATTGCAAATGTTTTTACTTCTGAGGAACATATTTTGGCATTCTTTTTAACTTCCAAATCTAATGAGTGCATTTCTTCTTTTGTGAAGATCAAACTTTGTTAAGTTTTATGAAGGCGAAACTGTTTAAAACTGTTACATTGGAGCTGTTATTAAAAAAGCAGTTAATGGTATATGTTAGTTGTGGAGTATTTAATATTTTGAATGATAATCTTAGAATGTGGGTATCAAGTAATGGAATACTAGTCACATTGGGACTTTACTATTCATTCATATATGTACAGATTATTATGTATGTGAAATGCATGTATTTGTGTATGTATACATGTGTCTGCATCATGCATGCACACATTCAAAGAAGAAGAAAAATGTATTGATTTCAAGGATATAACTTAAGGACTTTTAAAACACTGGCAAGTTCCAGGTCCATGAGAGGCTTCTGCAGAGGCTGGCAAGTTCAAGGTCAGTAGGCAGAACAGCGCTACTGGTTTCAGAGACAGGAGTCCGAGGCCTGTAAGGCAGGCTCCTGATTCAAGTGTGGCGGTGAAGATCCAGATGCAGTCTAGATGGGGCAGAAGTTAGGTGCCTTTGCTAGAGAATCCACGCAGGCCGTGTTCCTGAGGAGGGAGGGGTCCCCTACGTTGGATCAGGGCTGAGGTTCATTGCACAGCTGCCTCTCATCCCGCCTTATGAGGATCAAAGAGTAAGATTTACAGTTGCAGGAAAACGAAATGTAGAATCGTAGCCACGTTGACGTACAGTGTTAACTATCATGATACATTAGTGGCATTTTCCCATATTAATAAGTAGATATCTGCTTAGTAATTTTAAATATGTTGCAGTATATATTATATAATGCTTAATAATGTGTAATGATAAATTACTGAAATAGATCTATAAACTTTATAATGAATTTTTGAAATAATGTGTAATGATAGTTTTGAAAACTCGATTTGGCATATTACGTACAGTGCTACAGTAAATGTTCCCCTTTTTGGTTATCTGTGTGGTTATATCTTTTGGATGAAATTCTGACAGGGATTGCTAGGTCACAGGCCTTAACAAGTCTTGTTTGCTGGATTCTAGGAGTGTTACAGTTTACACTTGGACAACAGCCTGTTCCAAAGCTTATTATCTTCCACAGTCACTTTCTTGATGTTTAACTTGTACCAATTTGTTGGATAAAACTCAACCTTATTGACCATTTTTGTTTCTCCTTCAGTGAATTATATGAGCATTTTGTGGAAAAGAAGTCGTGTTTGAGTTGGAAAATGTTTTCATATTTTAATTTTGATCAGAGTAATTTTAATATAAAAATTTTAATGATGTGATCAAATAGAATAATTTTAAAAGAATTCACATGTTGCCTTTCCCAGTGTGACATATGCACCTCCTGGTGTATTCTGGTGATACTGAAACGTAATAGTTTGAATGCAAATCCAGGTTTTGGCTGTAGCCTACAGTTCTTTAAATTTGTGTAAACGAGCAAAAGTCACATTATTTTGACTCTGAAACACGCATATGCCTGTCTGCCTTCATGGTACTAACATTCTTGATTTTGGTTTTTTCCCTCGAATCAAGTTGTACAAGTCTAAGTCTAAAACTGAAATGTGTTAGATGTATGAGAATAATGCTCTAGCCTCTCCATGGACATAGAGTATGATAAATTTATTAGGATAAAGGTCTAGCCTCCTTTTGGGCAAAAGATGATGTTGAATTCTGTGGAGTCAGAAACAACCCATAGCTGACCCTTTGTGGGTTTTCAGAGACAATAATCGCACAGGAGGAGATTGTGCAAATTTCTCATGTGGAACAGCTGGGGGATTTGAACTGTGTGCCTTTGGGATTGCAGCACTTCCTACTACTAGGCCACCAGAGCTCCACAGACTGCTAATGTTTATGAAGACAGTTCTAGAAAGAATTTAAAATGTAAAAGTAAATATAACATATTAATATTATAGGCTGCTTATGTCTATTATACTTTCAGATTTTAAAATATACAACTATCTTCATAGACTGGATTGTAAACCACGAATGTGTCTGTCATCACTGGGAAATCGAAACACGCTGAATTGTAATACTTGTCAGTTTTATACCATATTACTTAAAGCTTATGCATTTCTTCTACTTTTGCTTTCTGAATGTGGTTAATTGCATAGCAAAAGAAGAGAATAAAATATAATACAATGTCAAAGGTACATTTATATGAGGTTATTTATACATTGTAAAATACATATTTTTATTAATACATAACTGTATCTTATACTTCATAGTTGAGGGAACTCTGGTTGGTACAGTCCCTGAGGAGTTGTGCTGGCAACCCAAAGGCTTTGCCTTTCTGCTGGTTTGAATGCACCAGCCACTCCGCAGGAGAAAGATGGACAGCCTCTTTCTATGTGATATACACCCTCTAAAAACCTGCTGGAGAGTCAGCTATGATTCGGTTCCAATTCAGTAGCAATTAGCTTGAGTTTCTGACATAGTTGGGATGTATTCTTGGAGTTCTCCATGGTAAAGCTGTGTTAAAGAACTTTGAACATTTGTATTTTGAACAGGTTGCCTTGGGCACGCCTATTGCAGCATTCATTTTGGAAGGATGCCTTCACGAGGAAAGACCAGGACGCTACAGGCACTGAGGATTCCAGCACCAGGTGATGGAAATGGGGCTCAGTCACTCAGCATTATTATACCCTCCAGACTTAGTAGCATGAGGACAAATACTGCAGAAGACCATTACTGTAAAATTAGAAGGATAAACCAGTAAGATGTGTATAAATACCCACAAGGGGGAAGGGAGCGGATAATGGGGAAGGGTCGAAATGACTAGGGTAGTAGAATTTAGTGGGCAGGTGGGGGTGGGTAAGGGAATAGGAAAGATTCAGCGAGGACTCAAAGACCAAGGGGTGTAATGATGGGCATAAATCAACAGTAGGTGGATTGTATGAAACACAATGTAAATGAGCGGTAGTATAAAATAAGGGGTATATGAATGAAACACAGTGTATAAAAATATGCAAACAAATAAAAACAAGTGGGGCATTGTTATTACGTTGTCGTGTGTGCTGGCCTTCTTCCAGCTCTTAGCCCATCACGTTTATAGTGATGGCAACAGTGCCCTAAATGTTCATGCTTTCATAACGAGGAAATGAAACGTGGGCATAAGGATTTAGTTAAAGGGGTTCACCTCGACGGTTTTGTGGGTTTTGTGTTCATGCTTTTGATTGTGTGATCCTGAAGCAGTGGCTTTAGTGCCAGTGGTTCATCCTGACCGCCCTGCACACGTGGCTTTCGGCCTTCCAGGCACCTAGTAAAAACCTCCTTTTCTGCTTTTCAGCGAAGCGTGGAATGTGAGCGGAAGTCCTTGTGCTATTTCCAGGGGGAAACAAACCCCGTGTGATTGGGAAGAAGGCACTGAAGGCTGCTGTCAGGGTGCGCCCTTGGCGACCGCCATGAATGAGCACGCTGTCCAGCCAGCCTTCTGTGGATCTGTTGCTGGGGTGACACTTGAAGAGCTTCTGAGCCTTTAGGGTTTTATAGCTGTATTCGTTTCTTAGAACTTCTTGACCCAAGTACCACACACTGACTGGCTTAGACGGCGGGAACTTACTCTGTCACAATTCCAGAGGGCGGAGTCGAAGGTCTAGGTGTTGAAGGCTGCGGGAGAGGTTACTAACGTTCCATGTTTTCCTCCTACCTTTTGGTGATTAATGGCAGACCTTTTGGAGATTCATCCCTCTTAAGTGTTACCCTACCCATGTCATCATATAACTCCCGGCCTGTGTCTTGTTTCACTTTTCTTCTTCCAAGAACACCAGATTGGGTAAAGACTCATTTTGTGGGAGCTACTTTGAAGTAGTGGAATACTTAAGCTCTTGGCTACTTATGAAAAGGTTGGTGGTTTGAATCTACCAGGTTTTCCAAAGAAAGATCTGGCAAGGCGCTGACCCTCCCCAGTTGCCACTGGTTTATCTGGAGGCTAGAGCTAGAAATAGAGAAAATTTGGGTGATTCGTCCTGTCCTCTTTGATCCATTAAAGGCTTCCTTTCGAGAAGGGCAACAGTGAATGATTGGAAATCCTAAGTCTCTGTAAACGTTCATTAAAATGAATAAATGAAGACGAAAAAGCTTCCTTTCTCCTTCCTTGGAGTGGGAGTTGAGGTCTTATTCTGGACCTTTGCCTGTTTGCACATTGTATTTCTGGGCAAACGGCTTTTGAGCCCATGTTGGGCACCATGAGGACAGGAAGGGAAACAGACTTGGTGGTGCTTTGAGTCCTACTTTACTTCGCTAATCCTAATACCATTTATTTTCCAGGGATAACGATTATAGACTACTTAGTACAATACCTTGTATGTAGCGAGTGCTGTTGGGAGCTGGTCATGACACACATTCATTTTCCAAGGCTGTGACTGTTAAAAAAAACAGACTTTGATCTTTCTGAGCTCTTGTTTTGGGTTGAAAACTGAAGAGACATCCAATGTCCATTTGCATTCTCTCATTGTAACAGGAGAAATGAGATGGAGTGTTCGGAGACCCTAGATTCCAAGGAGCTTTTGAAGAATCTGCTGAGTGGACAAGCCAAAGGACAGAGGAGTGGTCAGCGGCTGACTCGCTCTTTCAGAGGTGAGTTTGCATTGGAACGTGTTAACGCCGCTTAGATGACATCTCAGAGTGCTTTGTGTCCGTGTTTTTTTAAATGCTGTCTGCGTTACATTGTGCTCATGAATTCCTCCTATAAATGGATAATGTGTTCCTTTCTTGCCACAGAAAATGCTACTGAACTGAAGCCCAAGAGTTCTCCCGAGGGTCACCTGAACGAGTCCATGTTTCTTCTCAGGTCTGTAAAATGAAACAAAACAAACACCAAATAACAAAACCACAAAAAGAGTAAAGAGTGAAGAAAAGTGTGAAGTCACCTTAAAACACAGGCTGTCCAGCCAAATCGGATTGCACAGAATAAAAATGTAGGGATGTTAATGCAAAATTCAAACTTCATTCTCCATTTTCAACCTAGAATTAAGTGATTGTCAGTGGGATTTTAGGTGGCTTTTTTTTTAAAAAAAACCCAAAACCCAAACCACCGCAACCTGTTTATGATAAGAATGAAAATGGCTTCATTTTTGTTTACTTCGAACAGAACTAGATTTAAAAATACAGACTTTGTCTTTATTTGAACCTAAAGGGGATCCTGGTGGCCTTGTGGTAAAGAATTGTGCTGCCACCCTAAAGGCAGGTGGTTCTAATCCACCAGCTGCTCCACCCATGTGATTTATTGGCCCTGATAACTCACTAGAGAGTCAGATGTGCATTGATTCTGACTCCCTATCATCTGACAAGAGACACTGAAAAGGAAAAATTGTGCGTTTTTTTTTTCTTTAAAAAAAGAAATACTGTTTCTGTGAAAGTTTACACAGCAAATTATGTCCCCATTTAACAATTACTATATGAATTGCTTGGTGTTATCTGTATCACAAAAATATTTGGTGATACTTATTACTTGGGTTACAAAATGTCAGCACTATCATTAATTCCATCCAGGGTGCTTCATTCAGTCATCTGGTTTCCCTGTCCACTCAGCCTTTCCTCTTGATTTAAAGATGGACAGTACTCTGAGGTGCTGTTCTTGATTTTGAGAACAAACTTTGCTATTTAGCGAGAAGGTGATCTCAGGCGTTTTGGTTCAAAGATCAAGTATTTTAGGATGATAGTCTCAGAAATTCTTCTAAGCTCAGAGAGTGCAATAAACAGAACTTTTAAAGAATTGGACCTCTATTCCATTTTGGGGTTCCCCTCCCAAATTCTAAGATCTATTTTTTGTGATTAAAACAGTTGTCAGTGGTTGCTCAATTCAATCCCTTCCAGATGTGTTCTAATGCTGGTAAGGCTGTGGTTTTGTCAGCTAGTTTTTCTTTGAATCTTTAGTTTTCTACTTATTCTTTTGTTCTAGACAAGAAGAGACCAATAGTTACAATTTTGATGGCTACACACTTTTAACCCGTAAACAAGAAACTACAATAAATTGAAAACAGTAATATGAGTTGTACCTGTAATACTTGTTTAAGCTAAGTTTACAGATAGACATCCATTTAGCCATTTCCATACATTCAGCGCTGTTTGTCACATTTTCCACAAAGTATCCATTATTGTCATTTATTCTGGTTGTACCGTTTCCACTACTCTAGATGTCCTAAAATAAGGAATTAAGAGCTGGGCAGAAGCATTTCAAAGAGAAGCTCAAGAAGACAAAGTAATAGTGAAACGTGCAGAGTTGGAGTTAGAAAAACCAAAAGGGAAGAATGTGCTCATTTCTCAAGCTAAAAGAAGTGAAAGGAAAAAAGCAAAGCTCGATTTGCCATATTGAAGGGCAGAAAGACTGATGGAGGAAGCAGCAAAAGACGATGGAAGAAATACAGTTACTATACCAAAAAGAATTAACACTGAACTCTCCTAGGAAACAGGTTATGATCAAGAACTAATGGTACTAAAGTTCAAGCTGCCCTGAAAGTATTGGCAAAATAAGGCCCCAGGAATTGATGAAATACTAGTCGAGATGTTTCAGCAAACAGCCCTAGACATGCTTGCGTGCTATGTCTAGGGTAGAAGACAGCTGCCTCTTCCAATCAACTGGACTAGGCCCATTCTATCCCCATTCAGAAAGAGGTGATCCAGCAGAGTGCAGAAATTACCAAACATCATCTTTAATAACAAGTACAAGAAAATCTTACTGAAGATTCTCAACTGTCTGGAGCCCTTTGACAAGTAGCCACTAGAAATTCAAAATGGATTCAGAAGAGGCCGTGGAAGGAGAGAGATCATTGCTGATGTCAGATCTTCGCTGAAGGCCAAGAATATCAGAGATGTTTGTTTTATTGACTGCAAAACTGTGTGGATCATAACAAATGACAAACATTAGTAGGCAACATGGTAGAGTAAAAGGTGGTCACGGATTTCATTTTAGATTGACAGTTAACATCCGTAGTAGGAACAGTCAAGAAATCGGGCATGCTGCGTTGGGCAAATATGTTGTCAAGGACCGCTTCAAAGTGCTAAGGAGCAATGATAACAGTTTAAAGGCTTGGGTGCCCCTGACTTAATAAATGCAGTTATAGCATTCTGTTTTAAGTAAGCTTTAAATTCAACTATTTGCCTTGAGACTTTTTTCTTTTAAACAGCGGGGAGAAAAAAGCTCATAGAAGTTGATGAAATGGAATAATTTTAACTGGTGTGTATTTTTCAGTTCTCGACCTACTCCCAGAACCAGCACCACACTGGGAGTAAGTCCTGATGAGAAGATTCCAAACTCACCACTGAAGACTTCTCCTCTGAAGGTGAGCACGGACAGAGCCCTTGCATACAGGAGGCGTAGAATGTTCAGGAAAACAGTTGCAAGTTGGTTTCTTCTAAACTATGGGCACAATTACAAAATTTACAATAGTCATGTTCCCTGTTATTAATGTTTCTAGCGAACATTCAGATACTCTATTCTTTTAGTTTCTTTGTTTAAATTTTCTATTCCGTCAAATCAGATCTGACTGGTCCTAGAGGAGATAGTCCCTCCTCCAGCAGAGCATCTGGGGGATTCAGACCACGTACCTCTAGGATTACAGTGCAGCTTCTTACCACTAGGCCACCAGGGCTCCCTTAGTTTCTTTTTGAAATAACTATTGACCTAGAATTCATATCCCTAGAATTTACCTAATGTGTACAACGCGGTGACTACTGTTAGGTGCTGTCGAGTATGACCCTTAGTGACTCTGTGAACAACAGATCTGAACCGTGTCCTGTCCTCACACTTCCTGATACACTCAAGTCCATTGCTGCTGTCACTGTGTCCACCAGGTTTAATGTCTTTTTCGCTGACGCTCCACTTCTCCAAGCATGGTGTCCCTCTCCAAGGAATAGCTTCTCCTGAACACATGCCTGAAGTACTTGACATGAGGCTTCTTCATTTTTGCCTCCAAGGAGCACTCTGGCTGAACTTTCTCCAAGGCATTTGTGCTTCTGGTAAAACAAAAGTGACTCTTAGTATAGCCATCAAGTTGTCCAGTCATCACTACAGTCAGTGTTAGAACATAATTAACTCCACAGAAGAAACCCTGGGCACATCAGTTCACTTCCTGTTCTCCTCCTCCCCGACCCTGGCCTGTCACGGCTCTCCTTTCCAGCTCTATCCTTTGCCTCTTTATCACACACTATGCAAACAGAATCCTATGAGCCACAGTCCTGATTGGCTGCTTTTGAGTATATAATGTTTTAAAGGTCCATCCCTTTGTCTTCTGTACTAGTATGTCAGGTTGTTTTGGTTTTTTTTTTGTGGTCAAGTAATGACTTAGGATGTGAATAGTCCACATTTTGTTTATCCATTAATCTGTTCTGGACTTTGGGCTGTGAATTTTTCCCCCAATATTTGATTATAGACATTAATGTGTAAGTTTGTGTGTGGTGGTATTAAGTGCCATCAAGTCGTAGATGAAAGACCTGAACACTTGTGTGACTTTAATCCTTTCTCAAGGTTCATAGGGTTTCTGGGGGCAAGCTATTTCAGAAGTGGATGCCAACCCTGCTTCCAAGCTTGTTTTAACGGGGAGCTCCACCAAACACTGTCCACCATGGCTAACCATTATCACATTTGACACAGTGTCACAGTGTTCAGCATCACAGCAACCATGAGTTAACCTTTGTATAGCAAGTGGACAGACCAGGGCTATACCACCTAGAAGATTGTTTGGCCAAAGCCAATTAGAACCAGGCCTGAGGGCCGCAGACTACACATATAAAATTGTTTTTAGTTGTTGCAATTTCCCTGAGGCTTATTTCTGCAGCCAAAGTTTGGCAGTCGTGGAATGAAAATACAAATAGGTTATTAAGAAATCTCTCTGCTCATAATTTATTGGTTAATGCTTGGGACAGAAAATCAGTGTGAAAGTGAAAAAATGAATCCTGAGGTTTGGTAGGTGCATGGAACAGTCCAGCAGTGATGGTTCCCTCCTCTGCCTTGTTTGTTCCTTCTTTGCTTCGCTGGCCCAGGACCACCCTTCCTATTCAGGCTGTTTCCTAATCCACTAGTTGATTTCCCCGACTTCTCGCCGCCTCTCTTCCAGTCCGTTGTCCACAAAAGCCCATGTGATTTTTGTTTTCTAAAACACTCCAGTAAGTTCAGCTGTGTTTTTAAGCTGGTTATGTGCCATCAAGTTGACTCTGACTCATAGCAACCCTGTGTACAGCAGCTCTGGACCTACGCTATCCTGAGCCAATTTTCATTGTTTCTGACAAACGTGTCCCTATTACCCTAGTCACTGAGTCAATCCATCTCATCCGGGGTCTTCCTCTCTCATGCTGTCTCCACCCTTCCAAGCATAATGCCCCTCTCAAAGGACTAGTCCCTCCTGGCATCATGCCCAAAGCATGTCAGATGAAGCTTCAAAATCTTTGCCTCCAAGGAGCAACTTGGTTTCACCCTTCCCAGGACAGACTTGTTTGTTCTCTAAGCAGTCCATGGTATATTTAATACTCTTCTCCAGCACCACAGCTCAAAGGCATTGATGATTCTTCTATCATCCTTAGTCACTGTCCAGCTCTCTGATACATAGCAAGTAATTGCGAAGACCAAGGCCTGGGGCAGGTGCACCTTAGTCTCTAGACTGACATCATTGCTCTTTAGCACTCTGGAGGAGGTCCCTGACGTCAGACTTTCCCAGTGCAGTCCATCTTTTAATTTCCTGGCTACTGGTACCTAGAATGTTGATTGTGGAGCCAAGCAAGCTGAAGCTGTTAACAGTCTTAATGGTCTTCACCGTCTATCATGATGCTACCAATTGTCTCATTGGTGATAGGCCTTATTTTAAATGCTCTACATTCACTTTTAATTGTGCAGAACTTTTGGTGGTTTTGTCAGTGTGTACTACAACTCATAGTGGACCCTCCAGTGAGTGTGCAGAGGCAGTTAATTGCATAGGTGGAGATTGCCCATCCTTTTCCCATGAAGCAGCTGGTGGATTTGAACCATGTTACTTTGGGATTGCAGCACAGCTTCTTACCACTGGGTCCCACAGCTGCTTTTGATGATTTTAGTCTATTAGAAATTAAGACAGCATTACCTCCAAAGTCTCTTGAACATCCTTAAGGCCACAAATGTAACAGATGACAAAGGAAGCTGTTAGTGTAGTCTTTTGTCTTGAAAGTCCATGTTCTCAAAAATTAAAAATCATAATCCTCCTTGTTCTTCATATGTTTTTAATGTCTTTTTTTCCTAAGTAATTTGTTTTCTAGGAACTTTATTGAATTGACTCATATAGTCATTTATTCACTTCTCTACTTCAGTTTTTGTTAATCTCCTTGTCCTTTAATTTAATGATTTGATAATCCTGTTTCACTCACTTTGCTGACCATTGTTCCTTTGAAGTTTTTTGTGTATGACTTTTTCTGGAGTGAAGGACTAAAGCATAACACTAAGTATAAAAGTTCTCTTTGAGTAGAACACAATCTTCTCAAAGGTTTAATAATATCTAGGCCAGGAAGGACTAGACCTTTGAGAAGGACATCATGCTCGGAAGGGTGGAGCGGACAGCACAGGAGAGGAAGACCCTGGATGAGATGGATGATACAGTAACTGGGGCGATGGAGGGTGGTGTGTTGGAGTCACACTGGCGCAGGGCAGGCTTCAAAGCTGCTGTACTTATGGTCACTAAGTTTCAGGTGACTCAGTGACACATAACAACAGATGTTTAATGCCTGGAGCAGGTCAACTCTGCACTTAGACTTTTTTGTGGTATAGAGGTAATATTGCATATTCTGTGAAGTAGAAATTGGGTTCTGTGGATGAAAGATAACTGTACTGGTAATGGAGAAAACAATTTCCCCATCATAATGTAGACTAAAGTTTATAGAAGTGTTTTTAACCCAACTTATAAAATTGAACATGTCTGATACTTTTTTCTGAATGTTGTTTTTCTCATCTGTAAAAATGGGAATGACATATTTGATTAGTCTCATTTGATCTTCGCAAAACCCCCTATCAGTGTGGAAGTACTTTTAGTAAAACTAAGCACATCAATTCAGGGGGTATGTTTAAGGTGTATCTGTCTTAGCATTTCATTAACTCAAGCTTTCAAAGCCTTTTATTAATCATAGAAATGAAATCTAATTTTTCTCCTTTCAGATGCCAGGTGGTCCCCTGAGTCAGTATGACCTGGAATCCCAGATGAAAGAGCTTATCTATACAGACTCGGATCTTGTTGTCACCCCGATCATCGACAATCCAAAGGTGAGGAAAAGAACTGGCGGCTGAGTGTCAGACTCCCGGGAGCCTGAAGCCTGGTGGTTGCATTTAGAATATGCTTGGCCTGCCTTTCCAGGCCCTCCGCGTGCCTGCTTCTGTTTCATTTATGCCCTGTGGACATTTTAAACTTGTACCTTGTCACCCTCTTCCTTCCTGCCTCTGTTTCCTAGCAATGCTGAATTCCCTTCCCCACCTCCTTCCCATCAGCCCCATCCTTCCCATCAGTCCTCTCCCCATGGGCTGAGGAGAGGTGTTAAACTGTGCTCTGAGACCCTTCCTTTCTTCAGATAAGCATGTGTGAATCACCCCAAACTTTGAGGCACTGATACACTGTAAGGATACCATTACTCACCAGGCTGGGATACCCTAGACAGACCTCATAAATAACACAGCACCCTTTTCTCATGGAAGGCTTGAGGGCCGAGGGCAGACAGACACAGTGGCATAGTGGGTGTTTGGGGAGCTGTGTGTGGTTGGTTATTCCATGGAGTGAGTGCTTCCCTGGTAGTTTTGGGCACCTGCTAAGCCTTTGTCTAAGGGCTCTCCTGTGGCCTAGGCTGTGGGGAGTTGGGCTGGTAACCCAAGGACCAGGCCTCTCTCAGTCTACTCTGGAATTTGCAAGAGAAAGAGGAGCAATCCCTAGAGTGATGGGTAATTTCCTCCTGCCCTGATTATTACCTTGGGAGACCCCTAGAGGATCAGCTGTGAGTAATTTTGATTTGATGGCAGTAAGTTTGAGTTTTCTCTCCCCCCCTTAATTCTGTGGTTGCAAGTTGAGCCACAGGGTGAGTTTTAGTTTAGATTTCAAGGGTGACTAAAGAGTTCCACCAGTCTCTACATGACCATAAGCTTGGCCTTAGTAATATGTTTGATTTTTTTTTTTTTTAAGAATAGCTGTCCTATATGGGGATTGAACTCATTATTAATGTTATTATTTCTGTGATGATTTATCAGTAATTATGTCCTGCTTGCCTTAAATTGTTACTTGAATAGTGTTGTTTTTATCAAGTGTTTTCTCTCATCTTTACGATCTAGGTGTTAACGCTGACATTAAGGGTCATGTCTTTTTTTATCTTTTAAAAAAATTATTGGTTTACATACAATTTGTTTATATTGTGTTTCACACATGTATACTGGGTTTTCTTTTCTGCTTCTATATTTCCCATAGTGCGGTATCTTGGTAGATGCAGTAAATATTTGCTGAATGAGTTGATTTTCTACCTAGTGACAAAGCAGCTTAAACCTAAGTTTAAAGGGAATATTGCCCGTGAAGTTTTATTTGTTGTGGATGTCAACTGAAGTGACATAAATTTTTATCTTTGTGTATTTGAACCTGAAAGAGGATTGTTGAATTCTTACCCTTTTGGTAACATTTATACTTTTACAATATTCTCTCTTCCCCAGTTAAGTTTCGTAAGTGCTTGTTAAGAATCCCTGAAGCACTTGTTTTGTATGGTGCTATCAGATACAAAGATTTAGGAGACACCATCCCTGTCTTCGTGAATTTATAACCTAATAAAGGATATAGACATGGGTCTTAAAAGACATCTCAAGTAAAAGCTTTCCCTTCTTTCTGTTTAATTTAGATAATGAAACAACCACCAATTAAATTTGACCCCAAAATACTGCATCTGTCAGCATATTCAGGTAGGATCATAAAGGGTTTATCAGACCTTTAGACTGTTTGGGTATAGTAACATAGATATATTAGCAAATGGAGTATTTTTCTAAATGAATAGCTAAATTCCCTTTTCCTTGCCACTTGGCTTATTGTTGTATGAACTATAAATAGCTGGTAAACCTTTTGTGCTAGCCTTTGACTTTATGCAGTGAAATCTGGGCTGTTCTATACACTGTGGGTGGGGAAGTTCCTCCAGAGCTGGGCGAGTGTTCCTGTTTGGTGGGTGGGGACCTTCTCTCACTCTTCCCCTTGATGCAGCCTGTTGTATTTCCACTATTTGTGAGGCCATTGTGTGAAGAAATGTTAGGGACACGTTGGAGAATTGGAATTCAGAATTGTCTCAGTGGAGAGTAGGACTGAGCTGGTCATTTTTTTGCAGAGACAATGTGAGAATGGAAATGCTCAAAAGCGCTTCTGCTCAGCTAGAGGGAATTCTTATTTTACATAAAGGATTTTTTTTGGATACATTTCTTTATACATTTGTTTGGCAGATGATGTATTTTATTTTGAGCATATCAAGAGAATTCTTCATAGCTTGAGTAAAAGCTACAATTTGATGTAAATTAATAGAATCACATTTCAATAAACTAAGTAATGGTTTACATAGGTCAATACTGATTAAAAAGATGTTTTGAAAGACTAATGTGAAACAAAAAAAAGTAAAATATTACTTTCATTGCCAAGTGGTACTGTTATTTGTGAAAATGTCAAGGTTTGTTATCTGGAAAAAATACTTTCTACTTTGCATTATCTAAGAAATTAGTGTCCCTTTGCTTTAACATACAGTTTGGCTATTGATGTTAATTTTCAATTTCAACTCCTTCACTAGTTTTTCCTTTTGTTTTTTGTTAGGAGTTTGAGAGCGGGAATTCCAGGTTATTATTATAACTAATATAGCCTGGTTACGTTTAGTACAAGTTTGATTTTAAACATTTAGCAATTAGAAATATTTGTCTTTCCCCATGTTATATCACTCAGTTTATTTATACAACAGTTGTTACGTAACGTCACCTGTGACTCACAGCAACCCTATGAACAACTGGATACAGCAGTTGGAATCTTTTTCATAATACAGTTCAATCTTGCATTTTATTCTCGGTTGCTGTTAAGATAACTCTCAAGTTATTTTTGTGCAGCTTATTCTTCCTGGGAAGTAGTTTAAAGATTTCCATGGCTGGAGAAAGGAATTAATACAAGGAGAAAACGAATCTAACTTTTGGAATTTTCTTTTGTGTGGCAATGTCAGGTTATGGGGTGCCCTGTTCTTATCCCAGCTATTGAAATTCTGTGCCCCATTGTATTTCTTTCCTTTTCCATTCCTTTCCACATAACCCTTTCCGTGTCTTCTTGCCTCGGCAGTGGATAAGTTAGTGTGCCTGAAAGACCAAGATTGGAATGACTTTCTGCACCAAGTGTGCTCACAGATCGATTCCACTGGGAAGACCACTGTGGCCTCCCGGGCGAAGCTCAACCTCCTTGGCTATTTGTGCACCGTGGCTGGTCACAGGGACGTGGCCAGCAGGCTCCTCCACTCCCCGCTGGTAGGTGGTCAGTTCTGAAGCTAGGACTTGATCAGGGCCCCTGCAGTGTGCCTCTGCCCTGAACTTCTGCTCTTGTTACTGTTGGGTACTGTCGACCCAGAACCAAGCCATAGCTGACATAATTCCCTTTGCATTTCTGGAGGGATTTCATTTATCACTCTTCTAGAGCACTCTGGTGGTCTACTGGATAAGGAGTTGTGCTGCCAACTCAAAGGCAGGCGGTTCTAATCCACCATCTATTGTGCAGGAGAAAGGAGGCCAGTCTCCTGTGATATAAAGGCCCCTGAAAACCTTGGAGGGTCAGCTTTGAGTTGGTTTCGACTCAATGACGTGTAATAACCACATGGGTTTGCTGGAACTCGTCTATGCTTAATCTTTAGGTCTAAAAACAATGCAGTACAAAGTGATTTTTTGTTCAAATTTGTGTTTTCTGTTAGCCTTTCATGACTAAGATATTTTTCATGTTTGGAATCATGAGACTTTTCCATCAATTCCCGGAGTGGTTAGATGTCCATGTGGGGTGCATTTCCTTAAATGGACCAACCTAGTAAACATCAGGGGTTTTGATGGCCAATGAGGGGAGGACTCGGTCTTTGATATTCCCCCCCCCCTTTTTCACTTTTCCCCTGGAAATATTAGTACTTGAACTGTCTTCTGTGGTTCATTGGTAAAATGATAGACATTTGGCAGTCTTTGAAGTCATCCTTAGATAAAGAGTCAAAGTATCTTGGTGTTTTTTATAGTGGGCTCTCACTTGGGAACTGGGTTAAACTATTTTGTTTGCTTCCAGGATAGGATGAAAGGTTAATGGGTGTTTCTTGGTAGCTGGTGAGTGTCTATGGGGTGCGGCACTTGGGAATGTAAGTGGGAAGGAGAAACTGAAAGGCATTGCTCTTAGTTTTATCTTAATCATCTGTTCAGTGCTTTCTGCATTTTGTAGAAATAATTACCTGGTTAGTTCAGGATTGGTATCACACCTGTGTAAAGGTCTCACCTGTTAGTGGTCACTTTCTGTGTTGTCGTATGGACTTAATTTTTTGTACATTTTTTCTTTCTAGTTCCATTTGCTAATCCAGCATTTGCGAATAGCTCCGAACTGGGATATGTAAGTAACATTTTTATTTTTCACAAACACAAAAAAATAACTCCCTGGGATTTTAAGTGGGTACAATATGCATATCTTTGAAGAGCAAGTTCTTAAATAATTGTGTTATTCTGAAGTAATACTAGTAGACTTCAATTTCTTTATAATGGGCAATTTTTCTGGGATCCCTATTAGGAACTTCTAAAAGATTTAAAAATTGCCTTCATCCTAATGTTGCAGATATAGTTCTGAAGTTGTAGAAATGACTTTGGGAAATTACTCTGTTGACACTGCTTTATTAAAGTTTCTAACTCTGACATGATTTCATCTAATTCTGCTTCCTGAGGAGCTTTTCCTTATTACGTTTATCTTTCCCACATATATTGAACTTAGTTTCCTTGTAATGTTGTTCAAAGATCTAATGGGACTGTGACTCGTAAGCTCTTGCTAGAAGCAGCGTGACTTGGTGAAAAGCACGTCAGATATGGTTAGATGGCTCTAGGCTGTAGCTGGCCGATAGAACTTGACTAGATGAATTCCTCTTTGTGTCCCAGTTTCTGGTGCGGAGACTAGATGACTGTTCTATCTCCTTGCTAAGTTAAACCACCTGCTAAGCTCCACTTTTCTCTTCTGTCGAGACAGCATTTCTACCTCACAGATACTTGGTGATAATCTGAGAGAGAACCCACTGTCCTTGAGTTGATGGACACTCTCAGGAACCTTCCAGTGGGTTTCTGGGGCTGTAAATCTTAATTGGAAGTGACTGTTTATTTTTCTTCCAAGGAGCGGCTGGTACTTTCAATCAGCTCACCTGTTGGTAGGCAGTAAAACCAGAGCTCCTTAGACTTTGATGTTGTGTGCCATCGAGTTGGAGCTGACCCTCCAGTAGGTTTTCAAAGGCAGTTAATTGCTTGGGAGGAGATTGCCCACCCTCCCACAGAGCTGTTGGCAGGTTCAGACCATTTGCCTTTGGGATTGCAGCACAGCTTCTTAACCACTAGACTATCAGTGCTCCTTAAATCTGTTTCTTGGTGAATGTATCCTATTCATTGAAGTTGGGGAGCTGTGGCTATAGTATTTTTTCTAAATATTATTTTGTGTGTGTGCTGTCAAATCAGATCTGACTGGTACAGGAGGAGATTGCCCCTCCTTCTCTGGCAGAGCATCTGGTGGATTCAAACTGCTCACCTCTGGGATTGCAGTGCAGCTTCTTGCCACCTTGTGGTTATACTATAGAGCCCATGTCTTTCATGATGATTAGGAGAAACGAAGCCTGCAGTGAAGTCTTGGGAAATGTAGGAGAGGTGTGTTGCTGATCGCTCTTCTGTGTCTGAAAAGTATGGGTGGACATTTTAATGAATATAAGGGGCTGCTTTGCATCTTGTAATTATTTTTTATCTTAGGTGCTGTGTGCTTATTTTTCTGCTCTGAAAGCAAAATATATCCTTTCCTCCTGTGCGATTAACTGCCTCTGAAAACCCGCCAGAGGGTCAGCTATGGGTTGGTTCTGACTTGGTGGTGGTGGTGGTTATGTGCCGTCGAGTTGCTTGTGACTCATAGCAAACCTATGTACAAGAGCTCTAAACGCTGTTCTATCCTGTGCCAACCTAGCCATCTCAAACGCACTCATTCCCACTGCTCCAGTCACAGAATCGATCCATCTCATCGAGGGTCTTCCTCTTCTCCTTCGCAGCCCCTCCACTCGCCCAAGCATGATGTCCCTCTCCAAGGACCAGTCCCTCCTTGCAACATGTCCAAAGTATGTCAGACGAAGCTTCAGAATCCTTGACTCCAAGGAGCATTCCGGCTTCACCTTCTCCAGGACAAACCTGTTTGTTCTCCTAGCAGTCCATGGTATATTCAACACTCTTCTCCAGAACCACAGCTCAAAGGCATCAATTTTCTATCATTCCTATTCACTGTCCAACTCTCTGCATAGCACGTAATTGCAAAAACTATAGCCTGGATCAGGCGCACCTTAGTCTCCAGCCTGACGTCCTTGCTCTTCAGTACTCTTGAGTGGTCCCTCACAGCCGACTTTCCCAGTGGAATTTGTCTCTTGATTTCCTGGCTGCTTGTACCAGGAGTGTTGATTGTGGAGCCAAGTAAACTAAAACTGTTAACTATCTAAATCGCTTCACCATCTATACTGATGCTGCCAGTTGGGCCAGTGGTCAGAATCTTTGTTTTCTTGATGTTGAGCTTCAATCCATATAGGAGGCTATAGTCCTTGACCACCTGCAGCAAGCGCTTCAGGTCCTCCTCAGTTTCAGCAAGCAGGGTGTGTCATCTGCATAACGCAGGTTGTTGATGACTCTTCCACCAGTCCTCATACAGCCCAGCGTCTCAGATGATCTGTATACAGATTGAAAAGGTATAGAGACAGAATAGATCCCTGACGAACCCCCTTCTTGATTTTGAACCATGTAGTGTCTCCTTGCTCTGTTCTGATGACTGCCTCTTGGTCCAAGCATAGGTTTCATATTAGTACAATCAAATGTATTCCCATTCCTCTCAGAGTCAGCCATAGCTTGTTGTGATCCACACAGTCAAAAGCCTGTGCATAGTCAATGAAGCACAGATAGACATTCTTCTGATATTCTTTGCTTTTTGCCAAGATCCATCTAACATTAGCTATAATATCCCTAGTACCATGACCTCTTCTAAATCCAGCCTACACATCTGGCAGTTCTCTGTTGACCTGTTCGAAACGTTTTTGGATAATTTTCAGCAGAATCTTGCTTGCATGTGATATTAATGATACTGTTCGATAATTTACACACTCTGTTGGGTCACCTTTCTTTGTAATGGAAACAAATATTGATCTTTTCCAGACAGTCGGCCAGCTGGCTGTCCTCCAGATTTCTTGGCACAACTTAGCACATCCAGGCCAGTGTCTGTCTGTTGAAATACGTCAATTGGTATGCCGTCAACTCCTGGAGCCTTGTTTTCTGCCAATTTCTTCAGAGCAACTTGAAATTCCTCCTCCATCACCATAGGCTCTTGCTCATATGTCATTTCATGAAATTCTTCTGTGTCAGCCAATTCCTTCTGATACAGTGACTTGATGGTACACAACAGTAATCCTGTGGAGGTTGGTGGTGTGCTCATTTGAAGGAACCAACCCATTTACAACATGTTAGGTGACATCGAGTTGAGTATGACTTATGGCAACCCTATGAACAGGTCTGACTGAACCCTGTCCTATCCTGTGCCATCCCCGTTTTTGACATATCTGAGTCCATTGCTGCAGTCACTTGGTCAGTCCATGTCCTGGAAGGTTTCTTTTGCCGACCTGCCACCTTTCCAAGCATGATGTTCCTCTAACATTGTAGTTGTTGGGTGCCGTTGACTATGACTCATAGTGACCCTATGAAAAACAGACTTGAACCCTGGCTTATCCTGTGCCATCCTCCTCATCTCTGAAATTTGAGCCCAAAGTGAGAATTTATATTCTTGAATGGAGTGCCCCCTGCTGGTAAATAAGCATCACTAACTGCCCTCAAATTCTTTCTGGTACTGATTTTAAGGGAATTTTTCTATTAAGAGAAATTTAGTTGTAAAAAGCTTTGATTTGAAGAAAATGATAAATAGTAAATTATTGTGCCAACACCTGACTTCTTCCATTCACACGCCTCTTCTTACTAACCCCAGGTCACGTTACTTTGACAGTGTAAGGTGATGGTTCCTAACTCGAGTGTAGGAGAAAAAAAACCCACTGTGAAATTCTAGATTTATTCTTGGCTTTGTTCACAACATAAACTAAATTTGGGTAACGTGACCCAATTTTACAAGTTTCTCTTCCCCTTGTAAAAAACCCCCAAAATCCCAAACATACATAGTATAATGTCATTAATGATTTACCGAATATGAAATTTTTTGGATGTGGTTTATTATACGCTGTAGATAGCTGTTTTCCTTACCCTCTATTCTGTTTTTGATAGTATTACTAAGTCTTACAAATATTTGATAAACATACTTTTATTTAAAGGTTTATTTTCTTTTGGAAAGATTTTTAGAACTAAAATTGGTATAAAAAACCCCCCCCCGATAAATCTTGTGTGATTACTGTGCTTTCAGTAGATATTCCTAGTCAGTATGTATAAAACTTTTCTTTTATTAGAACTTACAAAATAGTCCATTTTTCTAATTTTGTAATCTTGGCAATCAACATAACAAAACAAAGGAAACATACTTGGAAAAGATTTCAGATACAAATACCACTATGCAAACATGACCCTCCTCCTCGATGTCTTAACTCTGTCTACAGATGTGGACTGTACTGTGACCATGATGGTCTTTCTGTAGACCACGGCATTATTAGATGGTACATCTTATTTTCACAAAAGTTATACACCACCCTTATTATTATGTGCATTTTCTCCACTTTCCTTATCCAGTTGGAACCTTGAAGTGCATATTTATTATTTAACATATATTCGTTGAGAATCTTTTAGATATTTCTCTCCTGGAAATAACCGTAATTAACATTTAATGACCATGATATCACCCATTCTGTCGATGATTTTAATAGGATTAGGTTTCAAAGTCCAGTTTGTATTTGAAAATCAGCCTCGTATGAAAGTGGAGGATGACGACAATATTATACAACTGCTGGGTTATGTCTTCACATAGCTGCCCGAGCACTGAGAGTCATGGCCCAGCATGTGGATGTATAACCCCAGTCATCAGAGTGTTACTCAGCTCACACTTGAGCATTTATTGTTGCCAGACTTACATCGTTAATGTGCAAAACATTGAGCATTATAGAACATCAATGTGAATGAAATGCTGGCTAACAAGATAGATGGTAATAGAAGAGGAGCTGTTACGTGCCATTGAGTCGACTCTGACTTTTAGCCACACTGTGGACAATAGCTCTGAGCCCTGCTCTATCCTGAGCCAGACCTACCCTCATTACTACAGTCATTGAGGCAATCTGTCTCATCCAGGGTCTTCCTCTCCTGTGCTGTCCCTCCGCTCTTCTAAGCATAATGTCATTTTCCAAGAACTGATTCCTC